GTTAGGTAGGGTTGGGTTAGCCAGAGAAAGAAATAAGTAAACAGAGATAGAGAGTGAGAGAGACAGAAAAAGTGAGGGAGAGAGATAGAGGAAAAGAGAGAGAGAGAAAGAAAGCAAAAGTTGTCTGAAAACATACACCAATTTTTTTGTTAAAGCTTTACAAAGGTTACTACCGAAGGGGGGGGGGGGTGCCAGCCAATCAATTTAATATGTACAAGTGAGACGGAGTTTTGATTGGCTATTAGAGGACAACTTGTGGCTAAAAATATACTTTTATGATGTACGGTGAGTTGAGGTCAGGCGCGGAGGGAAGGAGAGGAGTGAGGAAGACGGGAGTGAGAGAGATGAGGGAATTGTGAGAAAGATGAAAGACGTGTGAGAGATAGATAGATAAATAGATGTATGAGATAGATAGATAGATTGAGGGATAGATAGATAGATAGATTGAGGGATAGATAGATGGATAGATAACAGTAAAGAGACATTGGATAATTAAACTCTACTTCATATATAATAAAACATGGGTAACAAGCACCGTAGACTTTATAACAGACCACTAACTCATTCTAGGTCTAATTGCTCTTAGACTTTGCTGTCATTATATAGGTGAAAGCACCACCACTAACATCACTATCACCACCACCAGCACCACCACTAACATCACCATCACCACCACCAGCACCACTAACACCAGCACCACCACTACCACCACCACTAACATCACCATCACCACCACCAGCACCACCACTAACATCACATCACCAGCACCACCACCACTAACATCACCATCACCACCACTAACACCAGCACCACCACCACCACTCCACTACTACCACTACCACTACTACCACCACTAACACCACCACCAGCACCATCACCACCACCACTCCACTACCACCACCACTAACATCACCATCACCACCACCAGCACCACCACCACTAACATCACCATCACCAGCACCACCACCACTCATCACCATCACCACCACTAACACCAGCACCACCACTAACACCAGCACCACCACTAACACCAGCACCACCACCACTCCCTCTACCACTACCACTACTACCACCACCAACACCACCACCAGCACCATCACCACCACACTACCACCACCACTAACACCACCACTAACACCACCACCATCACCACTCCACTACTACCACTACCACTACTACCACTAACACCACCACACTACCACCACCATCACCACTCCCACTACTACCACCACCATCACCACTAACACCAGCACCACTACCACCACCACCACTACCTCTACTACACCACCACCACTCCACTACTCCACCACCACCACCACCACCACCACCACCAATAACACTACTACCACCACCACCACCATCATTATCACCAGTATTATTCAAGAGCATTATATTATAACTCATTATAGTTCCCAGGGTAAGTGTATAATGTCAGGTGAGTCAATTACACATCCTATAACTGTGGTAGGAATTATGATAATGAGATGGAGCAACACCTGTTAATTGATACTAGGCAATTATAGGTAAGGGATTATAGGGCAATTATATCTCATTTCCCTGATGCTACTGCCTGTGAACTTATGAATTTGTGATAGATGGTGTGTGTGTGTGTGTGTGTGTGTGTGTGTGTGTGTGTGTGTTGTTGTGTGTGTGTAATAATAATAATAATTTACTGTTTATTGAAAGAGCATAGCAGCCAGAAGGCTGAAAATATACAGTTACATAATTGGGGAATGGGTCGATTTGCAAATAATATACAAGTAACATAAGTGATACAAATAAGATATATAATAACTAGATGGGGAAAAGCAAACTACAGGGCATTTCAACATAGTGACAGTGCAAGGAGTAGTGTTTACTGGGGTGAATACACTGGTTTATTACAAGTTATTGATAATTTTTAATGGTTGGGACTGGGCTGTTCTTATAGCGATCAGTTCGTGCACGTATGGGCTGGATGCGGTTGTGGTGTCGAACAGCAATTCTCGGGCGAGGGATCTCAGGTGGTAGTAGGAGCCGGTCGAGGATGGTGAAGAAGCTTCTCACCAATACAGATGAGGTCGTGTGTGTTTATTCACCTAAACACTCAATACTCCTCTAAAAGTCACCTGAATCTAGTGTCGTGTTCACTAAACATCAATACTCATCTACCTACTCACCATAGCATTCACCTGGGTACTAATTGGACGTGTTCGTCAGGTGACCCCAGGACCTAATTAGATAAAAAGTAAATGGAGTAAAATGTCGAATCAACACTTTTTTTCTTGTTTTTTTTACGTTTTTTTCGTTTTTCTTTCGTGTTTTTTACGTTTTTCGTTTTTTTTTTTTTTGTTTTTCGTTTTTTTCTTTCATATTTGTGTAAGTTTCTGGCGGTGGTAAAGATGGTGTAGCGGAATGATAAAGTTGCGGATAATGTATAGGTAGATGGAGGAGAGAGAGAAAGTGAGGAGAGGGAGGAGGGGTGGAGGAGGAGAGAAAGTGAAGGAGGGAGAGAGAGAGT